TCCAGTTGAGCTGTTTCAAATTCTAAAAGATGGTTCTGTTAAAGTGCTGCAGTCAATATGTCAGCAAATTTGGAAAACTCAGCAGTGGCCACAAGATTGGAAAAGGTCAATTTTCATTCAAGTTCCAAAGAAGGTCAGTGCCAAAGAATGTTCAAATGACTGTACAGTTGTGCTCATTTCACATGCTAGCAAGGTAATGCTCAAATTATCTTGTGAGTTGATGGTAAAGAATCTGCCTATAATGCAGGAGAACTGGGTTTGATCCCTGGGTTGAGAAGATCCCCTGGAGAAGGAAATGGTAACCCACTCCAGTATTCTTGCTTGGAGAATTCCATGGACAGAGGAGCCTCATGGGCTACAGCCCATGGGATCCCAAATAGTCAGACATGACTGAGTGAGTTTCACTTCAGTTCAGTGCTCAAACTCCTTCAAGCTAGGCTTCAGCAGTATGTGAACTCAGAAATTCTAGATGTACAGGTTGGGTTTTGAAGAGGCAGAGGAACCAGAGATCAAATTGTCAACATTTGTTGGATCATAGAGAAAGCAAGGGAATTCCAGAAAAACATCAACTTCTATTACATTGACAACACTAAAGCCTTTGACTCTGTGGATCACAACAAACTGGAAAATTTTTAAAGAGATGGGAATACCAGACTACCTTACCTGCCTCCTGAGAAACCTGCATGCAGGTCAAGAAACAATAGTTAGAATCGGCCATGGAACAAAGGTCTAATTCAAAGTTGGAAAAGGAGTAGTCAAGGCTATATATTTTAACCCTGTTTATTAACTTCTATTCAGATTACATCATGTGAAATGTCAGGCTGGATGAATCATAAGCTGGAGTCAAGATTGCCATAAGAAGTATAAGCAACCTCAGATATGCAGATGATACCACTTTAATGGCAGAAAGTGAAGAAGAACTAAAGAGCCTCTTGATGAGGGTAAAAGAGGAGAGTGAAAAGCTGGCTTAAAACTCAACGTTCAAAACACTAAGATCATGACATCTGATCCCAAAAAGTGGACACAGTGACAGATTTTCTTTTCTTGGGCTCCAGAATCATTGTGGACAGTGACTGCAGCTGTGAAATTAAAAGATGTTTGTTTTTGGCAAACCAAGACAGCATATTAAAAAGCAGAGACATCACTTTGCTGACAAAGATTTGTAAGATGCAAGTGATGGTTTTCCAGTAGTCATGTATGGATGTGAGAGTTGGACCATAAAGAAGGCTGAACACCGAAGAATGGATGCTTTTGAGTTGTGGTGTTGGAGAAGATTCTTGAGCATCCCTTGGACTGGAAGGAGATCAAACCAGTCAATCCTGAAGGAAATAAACTCTGAATATCCATTGGAAGGACTGATGTTTAAGCTGAAGCTCCAATCCTTTGGCTTCCTGATAAGAAGAACTGATTCATTGGAAAAGATTCTGATGCTGGGAAAGATTGAGGGCAGGAGGAAGAGAGGGCGGCAGAGGATAAGATGATTGGGTAGCATCACTGACTCAATGGACTTGAGTTTGAGCAAATTCTGGGAGATAGTGAAAGACAGGGAAGCCTGGCATTTTGCAGTCTATGGGGTTGCAAAGAGTCGGACAGGACTTAGCAACTAAACAACAATAACAAGTATAAAGTTGCCATCAGATTTAAGAAAATATCATTTCTGTATTAGTTTCCTAGGGCTTCCATGGCAGAGTACCACAAACTTTATGGTTTAAAAGACAGAAATTTATTATCAAAGTTCTGAAATCGAAAGTTGAAAATCAAGGTATCAGCAGGGCCATGGTCCCTCCAAGGGCTCTAGAGAAGAACCTTTCCTTGCCTTTTCTAGCTTCTGGTTAGTTGATGGGAATCTTGAAATTCTTTGCCTGATAGATGCATCACTCCAGTCTTTGCCTCTTTCTCCCCATGACCTTCTCCCCTGTGTCTGTCTCCATAGCCAAATTTCCCTCTTCTCATAAGGGCACAAGTTATATTGGATTTAGGGTCTAGTTTATTCCAGTATGATCTCATCTTAATTTGATTACAGCTACATAGACCCTATCTCCAAATAAGGTCACAAACAAGGTTTCTGGTGGATATGAATTTTGGAAGGATAGTATTCAACCCCAAAGAAGATTAGCATGGACCCTGTGCAAAGATCACACACACACAGTATTCAACCCAAGATATTACCTAATATCAAATGCTCTTACATAGTTTTTATGACACACATTTGAAAACATATTCAATCTTAAATGGCTCACAAACACTATGAAATCTCCTTATTTTATAGTTAAAAACTGAATTTTTGAATCTTAGTAAAAGTATTCAAGAGAATTATGAATTTTTTAGTTTGAGTGCTATTCTGTACATATATTTTTTTACTACATCAGATTAAGTAACCATGTTTTTCTTATTTATAATTATTTTAATTCTGTTGAAATGCGAATGTTAGTGTAAAATTTTGGTGGAGAATTAATAATGTTCTTTAAGACATGAGTATGTGCATGAGAGTTACTAAATTTTTATGCATGACTTCATTAAGTTCAAACAAGTTTTGCCTTAAAAAACAAAACCAATCACAATTAGATGAACATCAGCTATTAGTGATTTTAATAGTAAGTGTTATTGGAAAAGGTTACTTTTCATTCCAATCCCAAAGAAAGGCAATGCCAGAGATTGTTCAAATTACCACACAAACAATTGCACTTATCTCATATGCTAGCAAAGTAATGTTCAAAATTCTCCAAGCCAGGCTTCAACAGTATGTGAACTGTGAACTTCCGGATGTTCAAGCTGGATTTAGAAAAGGCAGAGGAACCAGAGATCAAATTGCCAGCATTCATTGGATCATCAAAAAAGCAAGAGAATTCCAAAAAATGTCTACTTCTTCTTTATTGACTACGCCAAAGCCTTTGACTGTGTGGATCACAACAAACTGTGGAAAATTCTGAAAGAGATGGGAACACCAGACCACCTGACCTGCCTCCTGAGAAATCTGTATGCAGGTCAAGAAGCAACAGTTAGAACCAGACATGGAACAACAGACTGGTTCCAAATCGGGAAAGGAGTATGTTACAGCTGTATATTGTCACCCTGCTTATTTAACTTCTATGCAGAGTATATTGTGAGAAACGCTGGGCTGGATGAAGCACAAACTGAAATCAAGATTGCCAAGAAAATATCAATAACCTCGGATATGCAGATGATACCACCCTTATGGCAGAAAGTGAAGAACTAAAGAGCCTCTTGATGAAAGTGAAAGAGGAGAGTGAAAAAGTTTGCTTAAAAATCAACATTCAGAACAAAGATCATCGCATCCAGTCCCATCATTTTATGGCAAATAGATGGGGAAACAATGGAAACACTGAGAGTCTTTATTTTTGGGGGGCTCCAGAATCACTGCAGACGGTGACTGCAGTCATGAAATTAAAAGACGCTTACTCCTTGGAAGAAAAGCTATGACCAACCTAGACAGCATATTAAAAAGCAGAGACATTATTTCATCAACAAAGGTACATCTAGTCAAAGCTATGGTTTTTCCAGTAGTCATGTATGGATGTGAGAGTTGGACCATAAAGAAAGCTGAGCTCCGAAGAACTGATGCTTTTGAACTGTGGTGTTGGAGAAGACTCTTGAGAGTTCCTTGGACTGCAAGGAGATCCAACCAGTCCATCCTAAAGGAGATCAGTCCTGGGTGTTCATTGGAAGGACTGGTGCTGAAGCTGAAACTCCAATACTTTGGCCACCTGATGTGAAGAACTGACTCATTTGAAAAGACCCTGGTGCTGGGAAAGATGGAAGGCAGGAGGAGAAGGGGATGACAGGGGATGAGATGGTTGGATGGCATCACTGACTCAATGGACATGAGTTTGAGCAAGCTCTGGGAGTTGGTGATAGACAGTGAAGCCTGGTGTGCTGCAGTCCGTGGGCTTACAAAGAATCAGACATGACTGAGTGACTGAACTGAAATGAACTGATTATATAAGAAGGGGCTTTTCAAGTGGCACTAATCGTAAAGAACCTGGCTACCAGTGCAGGAGACTTAAGAGATGCAGGTTTGATCCCTGGTTTGGGAAGATCCCCTGGAGGAGGGCATGACAACCCACTCCAGTATTCTTGCGGGGAATCCCATGGACAGAGGAGCCTGGCTGACTACCATCCATAGGGTTGCAAAGAGTTGGACATTACTGAAGTGACTTAGTATGCATGCATTATACAAGAAGCAGGAGAGAAATGCAGTTGCTGAAGGGCTTGGAAATCATACCTTCCAACATTTGAGAACAGTGAAAATTATCTTCAACTTTTGAAGAATGACTCTGGAAAAGAGTTTAGACTCCAGAGGGCATAACTAGAACTGGTGAATTAAGGTTAATTCAGGTTAACTCAATTAACTGGTGAATTAAGGTTAAGGACACACTTCAGTGCAATATAGAACTAAACTTTCTCAGTGAATAGTGTGTTGTATACCAGAATTCATGTGGTAGTTATGTAAGGGGATGACATGTGAGTACCTGGAAATGCTCTGGAAGGGGCCGAATGATTACCTCTCCAGGACCTCTTAATGGAGATCTTGCCTTGAGCAAGAAATTGAAACAGAGGATCATTTCTAGCTTCAGGATGCAAGTCGTCCTAAAATTTCTATTTTTCTATATGCTATGAAATGAATATCAATATTATATGACAAGACATTTCTATAAGTTGATATATGTTTAAACAGCTGCCAACCTATGTGCTCTATGAATTCTGTGTTTTGAAATGCTTGGAGGAAAAAGGTATTTAATCTCTGAGAAGATGAAACATCATTAACAGGTGAGAAAAGAAGGGGCATAAAACTTCTATTTATTGAGTACTTACTGGGTGCAGGATGAGTTGGATGAATTTATCCATATTATCTCATCTCATTTAATATACTTAGTTTTTCATTGCTTGGTTTGGAACTTATGAGACACTGTAGTTCGTAGAATGATGAGTTCTCACAATAATTGGCATTTTCTTATGTATTCTTTGGTGATGGAACACAGGACTGTTCTGATGGCTACATGTGCAAAACACATTTTCAAGTTAAAAATGGAACTGCAGTGTCACATCAAGGAACATCTGACCATGTACAGACATTTCTTCCTGTGGAGGTGAGTGATTTAACATATCATGGTCTTCTTTTTAGTCTTTGTAAAGTATAAAGTAAAAATTTAAATCTAATAAATATATTAAAAAAATTAACTGCCATCAGATCCTGAACCTGCTGTAAGGGGAGAAGTGAACATCATTTCTAAGGGGTATTTTCTTCTATAATATTGAAATCAGTAACTGTGGTAAAGTTAAGATTCACTCTGGGTCTGTACAGGTTTTCACAAGGCTTCACCCTTTTGATTTCTCTTAGATCTAAAAACTACAGATGCCTTCCATTGCTTTTTATTTTTTCCAGTGAAATCCCCTCAGGATAATACAGGCCTTTCCTTAGGGGCGTAATGCGTGGTGGAGATCTCTTTACCTAGTCTATCTTTAACTTTTCTTCTATGTCCTTTAAAATATGCTGGATCTGGGTCTCATTCTTTAGGGGACTTTAACCTTGACTTGAAAATCTTGCTAAATTAAAATTTAATAAGGTACTAATAATGGCATAATGGTTTTCTGTGATATTTTCAACTTTCTTTTTATCAAAATGCAAACAGACTTATTCTACTTCATGTTGTTAACAAAAATTTTTATATATCCATTGTAAAAATAAACAATAGAAAAATGTATAAAAACTCCCATACATCCTTCAACTGAAGGTAACCACTATGAATATTTTGGTAGGTATCCTTGCACATATTTCTGTCACACACACACACATACACACTTGTGTTCTGCAATGAACAGGTATGGCATGGACTTCTTTCCATGTCAGTAAATGTAGATAGCTGTAGTTCTTTTTTAATGGCTCCATTGCATTCCATCCAATGGATGAACTATAATTATGTGAACCCATATTGAAGTAAAATGCTTGAATTTTAAAATTGAATCAGTGGGGATCTAATTGCCTCAACATAAAGAAAGAAATCTAATGCTTAAAATTCCAGATATCCTAGTAAAATGGGAAAGGAGACTTTTTTTTGTGACGGTTGAGCCCTAACCCCTTCTATCTGTGTCCATTGCTGGCCTGGAAGTAACTGTTGCCTGTGTAATTTAGTTTTTATTTATTTTTAAAATTAAATTTATTATTTTTTTAAAGTACTCCAAGGGATTTTTATATTTGGTTGCACCAGGTCTTAGTTGCACCACGTGGGATCTAGTTCCCTGACCAGGGTTTGAACCCAAGCCCCCTGCATTGGGAGCTCGGAGTTTTAGCCACTGGACCAGCAGGATAGTTCCATTGCCTGTATAACTTACTTGGAAATTTATTCTTGAGGATATTGTGTTTCATAATAAAGTAAGTGCCCCTGATTTATATATATTGATTTAAGGTTTTTTTGTTAGTGTTCTTAGTATATTGAGTGCTTAGTCAGTCAGTCATGTCCGACTCTTTGCAGCTCTTTGGACTGTAGTCTGCCAGGTTCCTCTGTCCATGAGATTTTTCAGGCAAGGATGTTGGAGTGGGTTGCCACTTTTCTCCTCCAGGGGATCTTGAGTAGGTATTCAAACCTTGATTACTGTTTCATGGCTCGAATAACCAACATCGTGTATGAAGCCAAATGTTAGGAAGCTTTTCAGTTCACTATATATTAACTTCAAAAATGCACATGGAGATGATGATTTAAAAGATAAATTACTAGTTCTTCCCTAACAAGTTGGCAGACATTTGAAAAGCACTAAAAAGTGGTGTTGACAGTGTGAAGGAACTGACACTTTCTGGTTGATGTTTTAACTTCACAAAGTTTAAAGATGTGCACATACTATGCATTATCTATTCCAATTTTAGGAATTTAGCTTCATAAAATATAATTTTTTTCAACATTTTTTATTTTCAACATTTCCCAACAAATTTCAAACATATGAAAAAGTCAAAAGAATTTTGCAGTGAACATCCATGTACTCATTGCTTGGATTCCAACATTAACATTTTGCTGTGCTTGCTGTATTGTATATCCCTCCCTCTATTCATCTATCTTCCTTTTTGATGCACTGCTGTTACATCAAAGTAAATTGCAGAAAATAATTAGAAATATGCACAAAGTTTACATGTGTTCATTTAAAACTTTTTCAAATTTTACATAAAAGTATATTCATTTTACTATTATTTATAGTAGGAAAAAGTAGAAACAACTAAAATATCCAACAGTAGTGGATTAGTTGCTTATGGCACATCTCTGTGATGGACTTTGTGGTTCTGTAGGTTTGGATTGGAGCCTGAGAATTTGCAGTTCTTACAAGTTCCCAGGTTATGCTGATGCTGCTGCTCCAGGGACCACCATACTCTAAGCACCGCTGCAGTACTTTATAATGGAACTCTTGGCATATTTTAGATGCACAGCTGAGATGGTTAGTTAATATAATGTATGGTAGAGTTGATACTGTAATAATCTTGATGAAATGAAAAATGTCTTAGGTTGAGCCTGAGATGGAGATTCCTGTTGAAGTGACTTATTAGGGATATGTTCTTAGGAGAAAGGGAGTGACGGAAGCAGGAAAGAACAAGGGATAAAAGCTAAGGAAGACTGCGGTCTCACTAGAGATGAGCTTTAGTCTGATCTCCTTAGAACTCTGGAGCATAGATACCCAAAATTAGTCTCACCTTGTGTCCTTGAGGCTGACCTTTTGTTCTCTGTAACATTTATTGATCTGTCAGTCTGTCATTGACTGATGTAGAGGTAAACATAGCTTCCAAGCAAGATGGTTCCAGTATCACTGAGAAATTCTTCAGGGAAGGGGGCTGCTGTGTTCTATCAGCCAGTAAGTATAACAGCTGGGTGTGAATGGGCGCGCTGGCCTTAAGGGGACCTGGGCAGCGCAGCAACAGTGTCTACTACCAAAGGGTAACCTGAAACCAACAAAGTGGCATCTGTGAGGAAGTGTGAGGCCTGCATTGACATGACGGCAATTTATTTGAGAAAGAGCTAGTGATTTTAGTCAACCACAAGCTCAAGGTAAGTGAAAAAAATGCCACGGATGCTAGAGAAACTAGCTGGAACTAAGCCATATTAATGAAAGCATGATTGGATCCCAAATATTGTCTGGGGTCCCCTGGAGGGTCCCAGAGACCCTTTCAAGGGGTACACAAGGTCAAATATATTTAATAATGTTAAGATATTATTTACATTTTGTACTTTCATTCTCCCCTAGTTTCCCAGAGGCTGCCTATGTGTGATATTGCAATGGAGTGAATGCAGAAATGGTTATAAAAATCCAGCTGTCTTTAATTAAGTTAGACACTAAAAATATTTTCAAAATGTATACTGCTTTTCTTACTAATTTATGTTGTTTTGGAAAACATTTATTTTTTTCATAGAAATTTGCTGTTATATTATCATTCATAGAAATTTGCTGTTATATTACCATGTGTTTTTAAAATGAACTAATATTTTTTTGAAATTTAAATTTTAATTTCTAATACAATAAATATCATACACATAACTCTCTTAAACAAAAAGTTCATTTGAATCGTCAATGAATTTTAAAAGTGTAAAGGGGTGTTGAGACCAGATAATTTGAAGATCACTGCTATAGAACAAGGAAATATTACCTTATTGTATGTGCAGAACAACATTGATAGAGTACATGATGAATGAATTCATAAATAATAGTTGAAATTTGATCATAAGTGGGGTTTATCCATTCAAAGAAGCATGCTGGGGGCCATGGGTAGGCTTGAAAATATATTATTATGAGGACTATTGGGAACTCTGGTGATGTTAAATTAGAACTAAAGACCTAGGCTGGTTAATTGTCTTAAGATATGTAGAAAGCTTTCCGTGGAAGAGAGAGTAGACTCACTTTGTTTCTGAGGAGACAGAGTAACTAGAAATTACTCTAGACAAAGTCTCTACTGTTTAGATTGTTCACAGTGAAATTGGTCAGCTTGCAAAGCTGTGAGTTCCCTTCCCTTTCTTGGAGATGTTAGCCACAGAGTGGATAACCTTTTCTCCAAAACAGTGGTCACTGACAGAAATGTTCAGATGTTTAAAGCACCAGGATGGTGATGAATGAAGTGGGCTGATGGGAGTTGGTGGGACCTGTGGAAAAGTGGAGAGGGAATGGTTCATCCAAAGGGGCAGTAGATATGCATCTCCAGGTGGATTTTCAAGAGAAGGCAAGATCTGGGTTTATGTGTTGATAAAAAAAAAATTCTGTTTAGTCTAAATAGACTATGTGTATGGGCTGAAAATGGTCCTTAGGCCACCAGTTTACAACCTAGCCTCTAATATTATAGAAAGGGGTCCCACATTGTATAGAAGACTGAGCCAGGGGGCTTTGGAATTCTCTTTGGAATTTAGAGCCCCATCCATAACTGGGCCTCCCTGGTGGTGCTAGTGGTAAAGAACCTGCCTGCGAATGCAGGAGACAAAAGAGACCTGGGTTTGATCTCTGGGTCAGCAAGATCCCCTGGAGGGATCTTGCCCCTGGGCATGAAACCCACTCCAGTATTCTTGCCTGGAAAATCCCATGGACAGAGGAGGCTGATGGGCTACCATCCATAGTGTCGCAAAAGTGTTGGACACGACTGAAGTGACTTAGCACATTGTATCTGTACATAACATTTCCTATTTAAAGATATTTGAAAGAATGCCTCTTCTAGTAGTTACTTTAAAAAAGATCTAAAAAAGACTGGCCATGTATGAAGTGGGAAATCAGATCACTTCTCTGTTCCAATCAGAACTGGTAGTCTTGACTATAGAGGGGTAGCTGGATTCATGATTTTTATGCCCGTGAGTTTATGTGCAATAAATAAGAATTTAAAAATCAAAGAAATATAATGGAATATGTGAGTGAAGTAATTTGTTAAAATCATAATCTATGTCTTGTTTGAATTTTTAAAATGTAATTTAAAATAATACTTAAAAGAGTGAGATGATATTCGGAAATCTACTAATTATATTGGGGTTGCTTAGTGTTGGTTTTGGGGACAAGAGTTCTTATATGATTATTCATTAGATAAGACATTTATTGTTGAGAGTAGTTACTGTGATTTGCTTGTGACCTTTCTGAGTTT